GTGCAAAGTCATTCTAACTGTGAAAGTTTAAACATAGTGAAACGATTTACAATAAGAGCTTATTGTAAAAGTAGTATGATACTTTTATTTTTTAATTCATGGTACTTGGTGAACTTAGAGGTCAGATGTGCTTGTGTGGATGCCTCACGTATAGTTCAAAGGTCTTTAAATGCTTTGAAAGCCACTTTTCTAAACCTTTACATTTATTTACAGGCCCACTTAAAAAAAGAAAAATGAAGTTACTTGCCATATACATATGCCATATGAAATACATACAGAGTTCTGGCATGAAACTCTAGATCGTGCAGTCCGATAGGTCTAACTCAATCTGACCTAATGACATCATCACATGGCACAGCTGATTGGTTCTCTCCTGTATCGGTAGCCAATGATCTCGCTGCTCAACATTCAAATATATGACTAGTGATTGCCGTAGCAGTTGCAGCTTGCTTCAGAAACCCTCCACCTTTCCCAGCTCCACCTGTATAGATCTGCTACGACGTGATTCATGTATGCTATATGGGGGTTATTTCATGTATGTTATATTTGCAGCAGCAATATTTCTTACATGCTCACAGCAGCATGTTGTGGATGTATTGGCAGTAGCAAGTCTCTGTACTTGCTCTGCCGCAGCAGCATAGCAGATCTATTGCACCAAGACCAGATACATTAACATTGTCATGTACATTACCATGCCAATCCCTCCGTTGTCATGACAGAAATGTATTTAAAGTGTGGCTTAACTGTTCAAATACTACTTGGGGCCAAGTATATGTATATATATTGTGTTGCAGATTAAATGTGTCCCTCATGGTTTCTGACGTAGTAGGGTACCTCTACCATACACTCGGCAAGTTGTACGTTTGTCTGTTTGCCCTTATTTGTCATAAGACTTTGATGGACAGATGAGAGAGAAAAAATACATTTTATCTGTGTGGTTTGATTAAATCCTTTGCTTTAATCACCCCGTCCTGTCTTCCCAGAAGATAAGGATGATTGAATAATCCTCTGTCAGGGATGAGGGCTGTTAAAATCAATGCCTCACATGCTGAACGTGAGAGGAAAGTTTTCATTCAGTTAAAGTCACACACAGGTAAGGTCTCTCCCTCCATCATATTCGGTCCACCATCCTTCAACCGGTCACTCTAATCCATGCGATCTGTCAAGTGACTGCCCTTTAAAGCCATGAGATAAGACCTAATCTTCAAGTGATCATTTAGGCTGGACAGCTGAAGATAAAGCTCAATCTCCAAAGATAAAATTAAATGTTTGTGTAAAATGAAATTAAGTTGTCACTGCAGACAGTAGATACTAAAGTAGTACTAAAAACTAGTTGCTGCAGATGCCCTTCAAGTGTCTTTGCCAGTCACAAGCCAGTTAAAATTTGGTTTGTAACACAATGCGATCACATTCCCCCTAGTTTCAGATAGGGTTGGGTATCGTTTGTTTTTTTTTCGATACCGGTGCCAAATCAATACTTTTAAAACGGTTCCGGTGCCTGAACCGATACTTATTAAAAAAGAAATAAATAAAAATTCCCCCAAAAATGATGGATTGTCCATTAGCACTATAAACACATGATGTCTGTTTCATTCATACTGGATGCCAGAGGGCGCCCTCGCACAGAAAATCCACATATCCAGTCACAGAAGTAGCAGAACTCGTGACCCTCCAGGAAATACCTTATTTGGACAAAGGCATTGCTATTATAGCTGTAACTGAGTAAACAGAACATAAAAACGTTTTGAATTATAAAACAAAGACAATAAACACTCGACTGAGACTGAATATAGTTTATCTGTGTTATTCAAGCCATCTCTGGTATTTTCATAACAATTAAGTATATTTATAATCCATTGCTAATTGATGTATTCTTTTTAAAGTAGCCTATGGAACATATTTTTGACAAGAAGCCACATCAGATCACAAAAGGAAGCATTTGACTGGTGTTGTGGATTAAAAAGGTTATAATGTTCTCTTTTGTTGGACAACAGGTTTAGAAATGTGAATACAAGGGAAGTTTAGCTTTAGGCATTTTAATTTAAGCATGTTTAGCTTAGTTAACGGAAGGCTACCTGCTGCCATCAGAGCAAGTGTAATTACTGCATTCACGCGCTCCTCGGATGCTCTCATTTCCCGAGTTATGCTTTTAAGTCGGAATGTGAATACAACATGGACACTCGTTACTACAAAGATTTGTTGGATTTGTATTATTAGAGCTTTCCGACTTGAGTTAATGTGCATTTTCTCAGTCGGGAAATTATTTTTCACGTGCAGTGCCAGTGTTGATGCTTCTTACGTCTGTTTCGGAGAACCAGAGGACAAATATTTCAATCGATCGCTCTCAGGCATGGCACTGAAATGAGGCACCGAAATCTGCGTTCTGATTCGGTTCTAGTACATACCGGTTACATAGGTACCGGTGCCATATTGGTCCCGGGTTTCGGTACCCAGCCCTAGTTTCAGATCTAAAATGTTAAAGACAATGTGTTATATTGTGCCAGAACATAACTTGATATCAAAAATCCTGCTATTTTCTTTATAGAGATTGTTACTACAGTGCATTATTAGTGCTTGCAAAGACACGCCAGACATGGTTGACAACTTGTTGGAACATGGTGGACCTGCCCTTGTGCTTAATTAGAAACCTGAATGCCCACACAGGTAAATGAGATTTTATGTTGTCTGCGGCCCCATGCTAAATCTCTTTGTATAAGAGTGGTGTAGATTGTGTCTTCTGATAGAACGTTCATATACTGGTACTTTGCAGAGACGGGTGCTTCTCTATGGCTTGCACATTCCATTAGATTACCAAACTTCCCAGTGAAACATTCTGCCAAGCTTGACTGTTGGATCTTGTTATAAAATTATTATATTTTTTAAACATGCTTAAAAAAGCCTTTCCTGTCATGAATAAGTCCATTTCTGTTTATAAGACCAGTCAATCTACAACATAATATGTTTTAAGTAAAATTGGAGACGTTTTTATGTAATTTTGATCAAAAGGAAAATTAGGGAGTTTGGTGAGAAAATTATATACTATGTTTTATTATATATATTGTTCAACTTTGTGATTCTTTCCAAAGCAAAATTTCAGAAATTATCATTATTGCTATACAAACCACAAACAATAACCAAGTCAAAAAAGTAAGCTGAGGCTGCATTTATCCTATTTTAAAAGTTTTTTGTTACATCTATGTAGACATCATGTTCTTGCGGTTGTATTACAGATTATTTCGTTCATTTTTGAAAGACTTTGATGGCACTTTTCCATCCATTGGGCCTTGAGCAATCAGAAATTATGTCTTTCTAAAACGTGGTTACGTGGTCTGGTGTCTCTTTTCATTATGAAGTTGCAAATTTGACCTTGGGCTGCTAAGTGTAAGCATGTGCTTCAGACTTTTAGCACCGATCTGTTTCACAATAGAATGGGGAATTGTTAAGATTTGGAATTGCAATTGTGCTTGGCCAATCTTTGTTGTATATGCTTTGCCAACTATCTGCAATGAATTATTTCTTTCTCCAACATCTACCATTCTGCAGTTGATTCTCAAGTAGACCTTATCAGAGACAGAAGCAAATATGTTGTGTTACAGTAACATTGTGTCATTACATTCTTCAGAGGTTTCCTTCAACATCTGACGCAGTCCTCTATGGTCATCCAAAGGGACTGTGCTGTGAACTCCATGAACCATAACCTATAATGGTTATGATATCTAATATAGTGCCACATATACTGCACTCAGTTTCCAACAAATGGAACCAAGCTTGTTGGGGGAAGAGGAAAATAATGCATGACACCTCAGTATTGGTAATATATAAGACTCAGGGAGGCCCCACGAGAACGCTCTGAGAGCCAAAAATCCCCAAGAAATCCACCCTGTAAAAACAGGACTGTAACAATAATAATAACAAAGGACGTAGGAATGTAGCCAGGGCATTGAACCTCAGAGAAGAACTCCAGACTGGTCATATTCATGCAGCAGCACAGATGCCGTTTTATTGAGGAACTACTGTGACTTGGCAACACTTGTGGTGTTTGGATTAGTTGTATGTGAGTCCTTGTAGAGTTTGCAGATTTGGAGCTTGGCTATGCATCCAATAGAAAGCCTATGCCTATTATATTTAAAAAATCTTTTAAGGTGTTGATAAGCGTTCACGCTGCTTCTGTTATTTTGTTTTCATTATCTTTAATGTTCATAATCCACTGACAAGTCCATGTGTCCGTATGAATTCCAGAAACTACTGTGAGTAAAACAAATGGGCAATAAAACAATGTGACCAACAGTCCAGAGAAGCTCTGGCCTCCTAAGCTGAGCATTGTGGGTTCAAGTCTTATCTGGGATGAGTTGCTGTAGAGTTGTGCAGTTCAAGTACCCAGCTAACCCAACATTGTTTTAACCAATAGCATGTTTATAGCATATAATTTGACCATGGGCACATGAGCAATTAATCGCAACATGAAAATCTGATACCGGCATATCCCTAGGGCAGATGTGGAAGCTAGTTTTAAACAATCACTGGTAACACTTTAGAATAGGGAACACTTATTCACTATTAACTACGACTTTTCCCTCAATAAATTCCTAATTTGCTGCTTATTAATAGTTAGTAAGGTAGTTGTTAAGTTTAGGTATTGGGTAGGATTAGGGATGTAGAATAAGGTCATGTAGAATAAGGCATTAATATGTGCTTAATTACTACTAATAAATGGCTAAAATTCTAGTAATATGCATGCTAATAAGAAACTAGTTAAGAGGCCCTAAAATAAAGTGTTACCCAATCACTATTTTTGCAATTATATTTGGTGCTGCTTGTGGCAGAACTGACCCTTCAACATTTCCATGACCATATAAAAGGCACTTCTATTACAAAAATAAATAAAAAATTAAATTCTCGCTTGGAAAGTATTTTTTTTTTCCTGCATGGTTTGTGTGTTGCTTTTAATAAAAACATCTGCTAAATAAAATAAATGGACTCTTTCACTCTGTCCTTTTTAGAACTTAAGTCTACTGGAACTGCCCATCACTTTGCTTTTCTGCTCAACTCGACGGACTACAGAATCCTTCGTATGGATGAGGACCATGATCGCATGTACGTGGGCAGCAAGGACTACATCCTGTCACTAGACCTGAACGACATCAACAAAGAGCCCCTCATAGTAAGATTTCTCAGTTACACAATAGAGATTGCAACAAACCAAACTATAAGCAAGGCTTGGCAGCGGTAAACTTGAATCTGGTCAGTAGATTAGGATGACTGACATTCGTCTTTTTCCTCAGATTCATTGGCCTGTGACTCCTCAGAGGAGGACTGAGTGTGTCCTCTCAGGAAAAGACATCAATGTAAGAATCCGCCAAGAAAAAATGTGGATATTCTTTTCTGCTGTACTTATTTAATTATTTATTTATTTATCAAAGGTTTTTTTTTTTTTTAAGGAAATTAATACTTTAATTCAGGAAGAATGCATTAAATCGATCCAAAGTGACAAAGATACAAAATATTTATTTTAAACAAATGCTGTTCTTTTGATCTTTCTATTAATCACATTTTAAAATATATTAAAATAGAAAACAGTTATACTAAATTGTAATATTTTACAATATTAGTTTTAAAGAAAGCATAAGAGAACTCTTTCAAAAATATTTTCAAAAATGTTACCAACACCAATATTTTGAATAGTAGTATGTAATAATTTCTATTATTTTTTAAATATTCTTTGTTTATATTTTTATAGGTGCCATTTTTTCTCTTTTTTTCTCAGAATTTTAATATCGGTGGATCACTACTAATTACCACAATCTTTGTAAATCCTTAGCTGGTTATTCCAACGTGAGCATGTCAGTAGTCAATATCCATCTGAAAGTATAATTTCTCCATGACAGCATCGCTGATATCATTCTGTTCTGTGTCAACAGGGCGAGTGTGGTAATTTCATCCGTCTAATCGAGCCATGGAACAGGACTCACCTGTATGTGTGCGGAACGGGAGCTTACAACCCCATCTGTACCTATGTGGACAGAGGTCAAAGGGCACAGGTAAACTGTCATTCGCAGGTGACCTGCTACCATTTGCAGGTCAAGGGTTCAAACTGTTGGCTACCTTAGTCAAAAGGTATTATGTCATTAGAGAGGAATGTTTCTCCACCCTGGAACAAACAAGATAATCTTTACCACCTGCATGTCTTTTGACTCTGTTACTTCAAAATCTCTTCCTAGTGTTTAGAAGGATAATTGCATTTAAACATAGTCCTAATTTCACCTACCTTCTTTCCCATGACCATGTCCCATTATTAACCACTGTCCATAAAAACATCATTCAAAAAAGTCTGAGATCACATTGGAAATCTGGAAAGTTTTTTTTTTTAACTTGAAATTTTAAACTGGAAATAAAGATCTGAAAGAAAGAAAAATGGATAATAAAAAATTTAAAATTCTGTGCTATTTCTAGGTCAATTTTCAAATATAAGCAAATTTGTGACTGATCATGTGAACCTAATTTTTTTTCCACTCACATATTGATTCAATAATTAGCAGTTAATAAAACATTTTTTTTCAATTATTATTATAAAATGAGCATTTTCACTGGTCTCAGGCTTTTGGATTCTACTGCATTTTTTGTTCTTTTGTGGGGTTCTGCAATATGCATGTCTGTTTTTTGTTTTTTTCATATGCAGTGGGAATGTGCTAACAAGGCTTTTCAGCATGTGCATGTTTTAGACAACTTAATATAAACTCTTCTTTGTCCACTATGGATATACCAAACTGCAGCCATCTTTCTAGCATCTCAACATCTTCTTGTTTGGACACAGCCTTGAACGTTCTCTTGGGTCCTAGAAACAGGTCTTTATTGAGGCACACACCTTGTTTTATAGGGCATGCTCCAAGATCAGATGCCTCGTGCAGGAGGCCGAACCAGTCGAGCCGCAGATCCTAGTACCTCACCAGAACCATATGCACCCAAGGTGGGAAATTAACTCTTCAGTGGGATGAGGTCCTTTTTGTACTTTCTTGTGGCCTTTTTTTCCCCCTTAAGATGCACTTACAAGATATGTTTTTTTTTTTACTTAGAAGTTTAAGGAAAGGTTCTGTTCTCACACTATTTGGATTTTCAGCAGCTGGTTTCCTCTGCCGCTAAAGGCATTGAGAGAAACAGCAGAGGGACTGTTGTCTTTAGAGCTTGTCTTTCTCAAGTTTGCCTACACTTGTCCAGAGCCTGCCTTTGGCGCAGAAATCTAGCAGAACGTGCAAAGATTACTCCCACACCCAAACTCCATCATGTTTGAAAGTGGTTAGTCAGCAGAAAATTTATCCGTGGCTTATATTACATTTGTGGTGTGCGTGTAAAGCTTGGAAAGTAGAAAGGTTCCAAGAACTTTTTTGTATATTATCCAAAGCAAGTCATTGTTGAGACTTGAATTTGCTGAATTGCTGATACATTTTTTGCAACATGTTGTAGACTCTTTAGATGTGCTTCTACATCTCTGCTTAGATTTTAGTTAATGTGTTAATTCATGTTAGATGTTGTTGTGCATATTTGGTGCAAATCCAGGAGTCACCAAGCTTTTTAATAATACTGTTTTGCATCTGTTTAACTGTAGATGGAATGCAAACTGCATGGAGTGAAGTGGACTATTAGCTTAAAGAGATTTTGTTTTTCTAAAAACCAGCAATGCAATAGTTGTCACTAACCCAACAAAACCATATAGACTATTTTAGATTCATATGTTGAGAAGTTGATTGTGAGAAACGTCTCGGTTACGTATGGTACAGCACGAGAGCCCACGAAGAGCGTGCTTGACTTGTAGTTTTTACTGCTCTACGTAGAAGGTCATGAGCAGAACGATAGAACCGCTCGGCTCCGAAGCGAAAAGCTGAATATGCGCTGCATCTGCTGCCTACTTATACTCACGCTGTGATCAGCAGCAGCTGGATGCAATAATCGCATGCCAATGTGCATTGGCTCGTTTAGTTTGCACTCGAAGTAGATTGGTCTCTCTAAGCGAGATCCCAATTGGTCGGTCATCCGACGTGACGTCGGGAATGACCGACTGAAAGGGAACTGTTCATTTTCTTTGGCAACTACCAAGAACCTTGGAAACCTTGGATTATGGCATTAATTTCTTTTTTCTGGGCAGTTTTACACTAGCTCTCTTTTGTCAAATGGCAAGATATTGGTGTTGGCATTAGACAATATGTTAGACTCCAACATTTAAAAAACACAAACAATAGGTTGCCTAAAGATATTTCAATTATATTACAACCTCAGCTAGTTTTTGTTTTCATTTATCCCAGTGAACCTATGTGCATTTCACTTCCTGGTTATACCTCTTAAACACTGGAAACTTAAAGTATCCAAGTAAGCTGAGAATCAATACTGCTCATCTAATGTGATCTGTTGCGCTGTCATTAATGAAACCTTCATGCTCTCCCTGTTCCAGGAATACATTTTCCGACTGGAGCCTGGTAAAGTAGATTCTGGGAAGGGGAAATGCCCCTTTGACCCCAAACTAAACAGCGTCTCAGCTCTGATAAGTACGTACCGCTCATTGCCATCATACTACTTTTCAATACTTTTAGAAAATACACAAAACATAATTTATTTTGTTTCAGACTCATTTTTCTCAAGTTTATCTGTCTATCTCTCGTTATCTCCTTTACGCTTGCTCTGTTTTGGCAGATGGCCAGTTGTACGCTGGTGTCTACATCGATTTTATGGGAACAGACTCTGCCATCTTTCGCACGTTGGGAAAACACACGGCCATGAGGACCGACCAGTATAACTCCCGCTGGCTCCACGGTACGCACAAAATTTTGGAACCATGGCATACCATCAAGACAAAGTTCTTTGTTCAGTGGGGAAAGTGCCAGATATGAATATTCAACACTGACCCTTCATCCTACCTCCTTCAAACTAACCTCATATTTCATACACTTTTGCAAAATAATATCCCTCAAGCAATTACTGCCTAGTTAAGCTCAATCCTTGACCCTTTTTATAATCCCTGACTATTATAGCTGATTTCATTAGTTATTTTTTTGTATTTTCTGAAATGTATTTAACTATTATATTTATTTACCCTTAATTGTCACATTAAAGGCATGTTCATATTCTTTTGCAAACTAACAAAAATATTTTGTCTTTTTGTTTTATGCTTGCTTTATGCTTTATCTAACAGTTTTCATTAGCATTGTTCTTTGAGTTTTTAACCTGAGTTTCCCTTGTATTACACGTGACTTCTTTACTTTAGTTTTGCCTTTTTAATCATGAGTGTCCACTGATAACCATCACAAATTTCATACAGATGTCTTACATGTGGACTGTTCAGTGTAGTGAATGAGAGGATAGACTAACCGTGAGAGAGGTCATCAGACACTTTGAATTAGTTGCACTTTCTAGTGTTATTTAATATTATCCCTTTGCTCTCCTTTTTGTTTTCTCTTTGCTTTCTGCTACAACTGTAATTAATCTCTTTTGCTGTTTCCCTTCCTCTCTCTTTTTTCGTTTTCTTTTAGATCCAACCTTCGTCCACGCTCAGCTCATCCCTGATAGTGCAGAAAAGAATGATGACAAGCTGTATTTCTTCTTCCGTGAAAAGGCATCTGAGATGGGTCAGACTCCCATGGCTCAGTCTAGGATTGGCAGGATTTGTTTGGTGAGACATTTTCTTAACCTTTGTCTTATATTCGAGTAAAACATATCTACACATGCTAAAAGGCATAGTTCACTTATTCACCTTCATGTTGTTTTAAACCCGCATGACTTTCTTTTTCCATTATATACAAAATGGGAAATATCGAAGAATGTGCTTACATTTTCTCATGCAGTTACAAAGTATGAGAACTAGAGATTTTAAACTTTAAAAAGAGCTATTAAGTGGCCTGTACAACATGTCACATTTGCACAATAAGCAAGTACTTTTGTTTGAATAACACACTAAAATTTGAGTAGTTTTTCTTTGATAATCATCCCCTCTGGTGAGCTGTGAACTGCCTCATTCAAATCAATGAGTCATTGAGCTCGAGAACCAGATTAGTCTTCAAGAATGAATCAGTTGAACTGTTTTGTGAACTGATTCATTGAAAAGCTCTGACTCAAAAGTCAGAGCTTCATTCACAAGATGCCAAATAGAGGTAGGACGGATGTCAGGAATGTGTTGTCAGGTTTCGGTCTGTTTCTCACACAGAGCTATCATATGGTTTCAGAAGACCTGAAATATAGTCTCACAGACTTTTTATGTGCCTTTGCATCATTTTTGAAGCTTGAAAAAAGCTCCTGTCCCCTTTAATTGTCACTGTACAGCAAAGACAGACAAGTACATTCTTCAAAATATCTTAGTTTACGTTCCACAGAAAGAAGTAAGTCATATGAGTTTGGATGAATGACATGCGGGTGACTAAATCTTAACATAATCCCATTCATTGTTTTATAAGCACTGCAATATACTATACATTTTTCAATTATTGGGTGTTCCTATGCTGAACATGATACTGAAGAAATTATGTCCATGCAGGACTGAACTGTTGATTGACAGATCTTCGGGATCCATCATTGTCTAATGCCTCCTACATGAGCAACCGCTTGTTTCTTGGTTATTTTTTGCTGTTCTAATGTGAATCAAAGAAGCATGTTTGTAATGTGTGGGTAGCTGCTGGCGGCTGGTCACTGGGCATCGCTGCGTCTCATTATTGAAGTTGGCTGCTGTCCACAGCAGATGGGGCTGAGCAGTGCTCAAAGCCAATGTTTACAACCCAGTCACAGCCAGTTAATGCAAACCCACAGAAATAGCCTTGAGAGAGGGACAGATACTGATGTAAAGCAATGCCTTCATTTCACACATACAGAGTGTCAAGGTGTCCATCAAATCAAACTATACAGCTAGAATTTGTGTGGTGTCTAACAGTGAATCTTCATGGCTAACATGACCTCACTTCGTCTACAGAATGATGACGGAGGACACTGCTGTCTGGTGAATAAGTGGAGTACCTTCCTGAAGGCTCGGCTCATCTGCTCTGTGACTGGCTCTGATGGCATGGAGACACATTTCGATGAGCTCCGTAAGTCTCTCTGTTATCTGAGCTGTAAATTCTGTATAATTTCCTGTGATCTGATCATTTCTTGTATTGAATACTGACATTTGATCTAGATTAAATAACTTTAGACCAGGATGCTTTACAATATTAAGTCAGATTTACTTTTGTTAAGTCAAAAATAATACATTTTTTAAAGCCAATTTTGAATTGTCCTTTTTGACTGTTTGAATTGAATACAAAAGGACATTTTAAATTAAATACAAGCAGTCCAAGAGGACAATTCTATATAGTTGAATTACTGCTGTGGTACCATGGTAAAATACTGGCGTGATCAGATAAAACCATGGTACTTTTGAATATAATTTGAGTACATATATATACATATAATTTGAGTTTTTTTATATGGTAAATGTCCAAAATACCATGATATTACCATGGCAATACTAATGTACTGTTTGTTAACGTTTTGTAGGTGTAATACCATAGTAAGAATATAAAATATTTAAAAGTACCATGATTTTATCTGATGAAACCAATACTTTACCACGGTACCACCTCAGTATTTTTTGTAAGGGTCAGTATGTTGGCTATCAAAAAATACTGAGGTGGTACCGTGGTAAAGTATTGGTTTCATCAGATAAACCCATGGTACTTTTAAATATTTTAAATATACCATTGTACAATAATTTAGCATTTATGATTTTTAGAATACCATGCTAATATCATAGTACTTTTTTGTTACCTTTTTGTAAGTGTAATACCATGGTACTTTGATATATACCATGATACTTACCCTTACAAAAAGTACTGTGGCAGTACCATGGTAAAGTGTAGGCATCATCAGATAAAAGCATGGTACTTTTAAATATTTAAAATATACCATGGTACTATAATTTATTTATTTTTTATTTGGTACATGTCCAACCGTGGTAATACCATACTACTTTTTTGTCAGTGTACATAACAAAAAGTTAAAAAAGAAAAAAGTACAAAAAGAACTGTATTTTGGTGCTACCCCATGGCACTTCCAAGAATACCATGGCACTAGCAGGGTACACGGACAAAAATGTGGTATTGTCATAGTGCATGTCTAAGACAAACATGATAGTACAAAGTGCTGATTATTTGATAAATCTTTCCATCTAATTCAGATATCTTGGGGGCATTTTATGTTCTATTATTCTGTGGAGATTATAAAAAAATGAAATAAAACAGCTTTACCATTTGATTGACTCCATATATACAGTGAGGTATTCGCCCAAAGTACTTTATAGTCAGTTCTGTTCTGTTCATTTTCACAGTATACTCGCTGAAATAAGAGGCCTCTTATTTCAGGATAGGGCATGATATAGCTCATTTGTGGAAACCGCTCATGTCTGATGGTTCAATGGATATGTCTCTCCAGAGGGTATAACTTGGAAAAAGTAATTTCCTCTCTTTCCTGTATGTGGAGCGTGTAGCATTTGTGCTTAAGCGTAAAGTGCCACAAGGGCCTGTGAGGAATATATAGAGGCAAGCAGTTCGGAGTATGAAATTGAAATTCCTGTAGAGCTTAAAATGACAAATTGGGCTTTTAAAAAGTTGTACTACAACTGCCTGAAAATAAAAATAACTCTCTTTTTTGTGGTTTTACATTATGCTTCATACATGATTGTGCATTTATGTGCACATGTGTGAGGTAACCCATGCATGTAAGCTGCATCTTAACAGGCTTACACAAAATGAAGTCTTTCCCGGAGTGGGAGAGTTTGATTGACAGGACTGAATAGGATTGGCTGACAAACCAGCTGTAACAGCCTCTGCCACTCTTCAGAGGCAAATAAACGCAAGCGCATGAATGCTGCAGTTTTATTGCTTTTGCAATGTGCATAAATTGAGTAAGCGGTCGTTCTGTGTTTGCCTCATTTCACAGCTCCCGTAGCATAGCGCACAAGGTACCCTCAGGACTCCTTTCTCCGTCTCTGCCCTCTTTTTTTCACTTGGTTGGTCATTCAACCTCCCTCTGCCACTATGTTTGAGGAATGTACTTGTCAGTGGAGTTTTTGACTAGATGTTTTCCCTTTTCCTCAGAGGGGCAGTGAGGTTTTATGGGTTGTTTTTTGTGGCTTGGCATGAGCGAGATTCATTCGCTGCAGTGTGGGATTTTCCCTCAGCACTTGATTACTTAGTCCGTTTAGCCGTGACTATCCGTCTGAGATCATCTTCTTTCTGTTTTTGATGGGACATCTGTCTATGCTTTTACCGCTTGCCCTCCTTATTCCCTAAACCATCTGAGTCTCCTTTTGTTTTCTTTCCTTCTGCCCCCTTTTTAACCTTTTTTATGTACCTCTATCTCCCATCCCCCTTACACTGTCCTTCAAGTAAAACGGTGGCCCAATGGCCTTTTTTCATCTTTCTCATTTTGGCTAGCAGACTATCACTGGCCCTTTGTGGTTAATTTGTGTTGAAAGAAGCTGGAGAATTTTGGAGGCTGAGACAAAGACAGAGAGGAAAAGTAAGAGAGAAAGATTGTCCTCTCAATGCGATGGGTTTTGTATGATGTAACTGAACTGAGATAGATTTGATGACTTCCCACATACACTCGCAGACTTTTGAAGCTGCAGAAATGTTGGTGTCACTGGTGGTGCTAAACTGAGCTGCAAAAATAGTGAATGTTTTCAAACAGGTTTTCTTAAATAATCCACCTGTCTTCTATTGTTCCAAAAAAAAAAAAAAGATCCATCCCCATATTGGTTTAGCCATTGTTGCTATACCAGGCCGCTTAAACAAACAGAGCTCAAAATTGGAATAAGCGTGTCCCATAGTACATCGAAAACTATGGAGCCCTCTCTGGTGATGGAAAAATGGGAGGTAGGAGGAAAAATTATATTCCAATGCTTTTGTGTTCTCTCACACAAGAATTCCCTTGAAAAACGTTGCATTCGTTTGCATTTGCGGTCTCTCACAAAAGTATTGCATTTAACCAAGAAAGTTTGCGTTTGTTGCTAAAGCTTTTAACATGGTTTTGCTTCTCACTTTATATTATTTCCATCACAAAAAGTTTAGCGAGCAAACAGTTTCTCGGGGTAACGCAGCAGTTTTGTGAGAGAACACAAAAGTAATGTGATATAATTTTACCTCCCTTCTCATTTTTTCCCACCAACATGTCCCTTCAGGGGCTCCGTAGAAAACAGCATGCCAGAGAGGTGTCTGAATGGCATATGATTTCCAGTGAATTTTCAAAGTGTGCTAATCTTTCCCAAAACCCCTTGTGTAACAAGGGAGGAATTTGTGGCTTTTTCAGTGCAAAAGTAGTATAGAAAGCAATACCCAAAGCTGCCTTGACAGTTTGAAATGTAGAAATCTGTAGTGTCAGGACACAATCATATGATGTTATAATATAATATGTCCCATTACAATACTCATTGTATGTGCTTTCTTCTCACCATCAAAGTACACACTTAAGTATGTGGATTAGTTCATTTGTCTTCAAATCCAGGAACTAAAGTAATTTAATCTTCCTTTCAGGGGATGTGTACATCCAGAAAACCCAAGACACCAAGAATCCCGTCATCTACGGCGTCTTCTCCGTGTCTGGGTGCGTAAGTTCACGACGGTCTCTCCCCAAATACGAGATCCAATCCTCACTTCTCCTCGACGCCTCTTACTAATCAGGCCGCTTATCAGATTGGCAAGGGAGCTTGAATATATTTGCTTTCATATTCACACTCCAGTTGCCCACGGGGCAACACCCCCATTTTCTCCGCTGCTGAAGACTGTTTCTAACATACTGAATAGCAAGTGTTTGGCAGGCTTCACAGACAGTAGTACAAGTCCTCCAACAGCACAAAGCAAGGAGCCTTTCTGTGAATCTGATATGTGATATTCTCATAAGGACTTACCTACATAATACCACCGCTATCAGATGCCGTTAGGAGAGGATATTCGTACACGCTAAAATATTATACAACTGGCCTCAGAGGGATCTGTCAACATTTTAGATGAGGTTCACATGCTAATCATCCAGTGTAAATACACAAGGCTGTTTGTGTGTTAGAGCAATTCACAGTCTCGCTGTAGATTTCAGATAAAATCGGTGAAGCCCTCAGGCTCTGTCTGGGCTCTTTATACCCAAAAGCACCATTCTTGGTGATAATAGTGAAAACTCTCTCCATCAACTGCAAGTGATTTCACAGCTCTATCTGTCCCTCTGTCTCTTCTCTCTCTGTATTTGTATTCATGTTGTTTGTAAAACTGCCTTCTCTACTCATATTATGTCTGTTATAGTTGGGTCCAAAAGAGTAAGATCACTAGTGAAAATACTTTTGTTTTTTTCCATAACAAATTATATTGTCAGCAGCATATATATTTGAGTCTAAAATTTAACTGAGAAATTAGTATGAATTTATTAATTTCTTAGTATTTGGTTTGTCCCCCTTTTGTTTTAATTACATTCACTCAAGTTTGCATTTTGAACCTTTTTGTGCAAAGGAGTTCACATGCTTATTGTTACAAATTTCTTAATTTGATTAGTGACCTAGTAATAGTGCACAATCTTGTGTATTTCTTTTAGTCATTTTAGGGCATAACTTTTCTTTGTTTTAAATATTTAAAAAACCTGAAACCTTGTTTATTTCCAAGTTTTAATTAGATTTTGAATTGCATATTTTCAACATGTTCTGACATTTGGATCCCAGTTTGTTTCTGGCTGAAACAAATGTAGTCTACGGCTTTTAACCAGAAGGAATTAATTGGATTGTGACATTGCATACAATATTAAGCCAAATGGTTATTGTGGTCAGCAGATTTTCATAAAGACAACCATATTTTATTTCATGCACAGATTAATGTTGCACAGTAGGACAGGAAATGTGTATTTAAGAGAGTTAAATTTGATTTTGTGCGAATTTTAAAATAGTGTGCATACATTAGTGATGCGCGGATGAGTTAAAACGTCACCCGAATCCGCAGCTTCAAATAAATTATTAATATGCTGATTTATTATCAGTGCTGGAAACTGTTGTGCTGCTTAATATTTTTTTGGAACCTGTGATACTTTTTTGCAGGATTCTTTGATGAATAAAAAGTTAAAAAGAAGAGTATTTATTTAAAATAGAAATCTTTTCTAACAATATACACTGCTGTTCAAAAGTTTGGGGTCAGTAAATGTTTATTTTTTCTGTTTTTGAAAGAAATTAAAAGCAAGGATGTTAAATCGTTAAGAAGTGATAGCAAATATTTTTATTGTTATGAATGCTATTCTTTTTAACTTTTTATTCATCAAAGAATCCTGAAAAAAGTATTGAAGTTTCCAAAAAAGATTACAGTTTTTTTCTGTATTTTTGATCAAATAAATGCAGCCTTGATGAGCATAAGAGACTTCTTTAAAAAAACGTTACAAGTCTAACTGATCCCAAACTTTTGAACGGCAGTGTATGTATGTATGTGTGTGTGTGTGTGTGTGTGTATATATATATATATATATATATATATAAATAGA